TCCGAGTGGGTGGGTGGGTGGAGAGACAGGTATGCCCGAGAGCTATGATGGAGTGAGAGCTATGATGGAATGGGTGGGTGGGTGGGGAGGCAGGTATGCCCGAGTGAGTGGGTGGGAAGCAGGTATGCCCGAGAACTATGGGGAAAGAAAGTGCAATGTTCCTGGCTTCAGGAAGTTTATGGACAAAACAGAGAACATCAGTGTGGTTTGGAATGTTAAGGAGAAAAGATCCCTGATACTTGAGAGTATACATGCTCACTGTGAGGGTGCTAGCCCACTGACTCAGGGTATTGAGTGGGCAGACTAAGAACGTGAATCTTCTTTGGAAACCCGACACGATTAGATGTGGTGTTGATAAATATGTAGGAATTCTTTGGTGGCTGGGCCCCGGGTCATCTCAAGCCTCCAGATACCAGCTGTAATCAATTCAGGCTATGGCAGAGAGAGATCATGTTAGTCAGCAGTAGAGTCCGAATCCCCAGGAAGAGCATAACTTTCATAAGGCAAACATCAGACCTGCACTGCAGTCCTGACACTGCTCTCCTGGTCCGAGCCAGGAGAACCTCTCCGACATGGTGCTGTGGGTCCTTCTCCAGAGCAGTCTGTAGAGTTCATGCACCACACACCTAGACAGATCATGGGTGGAGGTTTTGGAGGACTTGACTGTAGACTGTATCTGGGATGTGAGATAAGCAAGCCAAACACGAGAACAAACAAGGTACTATTGAACATGGAAGTGCGGACCACGGCTCTGACTGCACAGGAAGTGGCACTAGCCCTGCAGTGGCCTCTTCCAGGAAAGAGTTCTGAAACAATAAGCCCTGGGCAGGCCCTGCAGGGGACAGGGCAGAGGCAGCCTACTCTGCCTTGTGTGCCCACATGTCAAGCAGGATGGAAAGCTGGGAGCAGACAGAATGGAGGGTATGGGAAAGGTGGTATTTCAGATGGTGCGGGATTGCAGGGCCTTTGAGGATAAGGTAAACTGGGTTCTGAATATTGGTACCAGCAAAATAAGTTCCAGAAAAGTGAAAACCTTAAATATAAAACAGTAATTTAAAAAACAACTAGAAGGTAATGGTATAGTTTAAACTGTTTTTGTTGTTGGGGGTGGTGGTTGTTTTCACTTGGGGTTTTTTGGGGGTGGGTGCTAGGGATTTAATCCAGGACCTGCTTGCTGTACGTACCCTCCACCCCTTTTAGTATCTGAAGTGCTGGGACCAGCTTTTTTGTGTGTTTTGAGAAAGTCTCACTATGTAGCTCAGATTTGCTTGGAACTCACTGTGTTGATCCAGCTGTCCTTGACCTCACCGAGATCTGCCTCTCAAGTGTTGAGACTGAAGGCATGCACCACCACTCTCAGCCCCACCCACTTACTATTTATTTGTGTGAGTATGTGTATAAGCATTTATGTGCATGACATGTGATACAGCACATGTATGGAGGTCAGAGGACAACCTGTTAGAGTGGTTCTCTCTTTCCTCCCTATAGGGCCTCGGGGGATTCAAACCAAGTCATTGGGCTTTTAACAGACATCTTTACTCACTGTGCTGTCTTGCTTTTCTTTATGTTTTTTAAGACCGTGTCTGATTGTATAGGCCAGGGCGGCCTCAAATTCTGTAGTCTCCTGCCAATTGCTGGGATTTCAGGAATGCACCATTACATGTAGCATGATCAGTAAAAACCCAGAGACAGATACAGCTGCAGGACCAAGCGGAACAGAAACTTCCGTCTACAACTACGTCCAGCTGGGCGGGGCTTTTGACATGCTATTGAGAAAGATGAGTTGCTGGATTATAACAGTCACGGAGGAAAGGCTGGTGCCCATGCAGCTGCCCTGCTGGATAACAGACTGCCTGACTGGGTAGCAGGCCCATCACAAGTCACTCACATGCTTACTACCTTGTAGATCTTGGAACCAGGACGCAGGGAGCGTCTGGGTCTGAAGATGGCCAATGAAGCAGCTGCCAAAAACCGGGCCAAGAAGCAGGAAGCATTGCGGAGAGTCACAGAGAACTTGGCCAGGTGAGAGGCAGCTGGACCCTTGGGTAGGATGGGGTAGAGATGAGTTTGTGCCCGTCTCACTCCGCCTCCAAGATCATGTGGGTACATGACTTGCAGAACAGAGCCCAGGGTATATCCACAGGATTCTTCTGTAAGGCCTTTGGCTGTGTATGGAGCAGACTGTGAGGCACTCTCCATCTCTCCTCAATATCTTCCTTGGCCTTCTCTAAGAGGTACCTTTAGGCTCCTTGCCTGACTGTGAGCTCCTGTTAGTTCTGTGGAGTCAATGTCATTCGCACTGAAGAGAGTTGGAGACTCCAGCTCTCAAAAGTCCACGCTCCATCCAGTCCCACAGGCAGAGGTAGCTGTTCCACAGTGCCTCAGGTCTGACCTGACTGCTTTGTGCCCAGCATTGTCCTCCTCGGCTCAGAGTGACCATATCTCTTGATAGGGCTCCTCCTGAGGAACTGAGGGAGGCCTTGCCTTAAGCAGCACTTGGCCTCTAACAAGGTTGCTTTTTTCTGTCCCTTCTCTACAGTCTTACTCCCAAAGGTCTGAGCCCAGCCATGTCCCCAGCCCTCCAGCGCCTAGTAAGCAGGACAACCAACAAGTATACAGATCGCGCCCTGCGGGCAAGCTATACACCATCCCCAGCACGTTCTACCCATCTCAAGACCCCAGCTGGTGGGCCACAGACCCCCACAAGCACACCAGCCCCTGGGTCTGCCACCCGCACACCCCTCACACAGGACCCAGCCTCCATCACTGACAACCTGCTGCAGCTTCCTGCCCGGCGCAAAGCTTCAGACTTCTTTTAGAACCAGGCCTGGCCGGACCTGTGGATGCTTTGTGGGACACTTTGTAGAGCATATATGACAGCTGTCTACTCTTCAGAGGACTCCAGGCCTTCGAGACCCAGACCATAGGCCGTTGGCTATCCCAGGAACCACAAGTGTGTAGTCCTGTGCCATGACCAGGTTGGCACATCACGCTGACCACTCCCCTTGGGAGTATAGCACTGGTGCTGTCCCCCAAGGCCCTGCTGAAACTGAACCCTCATTAAAGAACACCTGGCACCATCTGGCCAGGCTGCCGATCCATATCCTGGGGCCCACCTGTGTGTCTCAGGACCTCAGGACTAAGAAGCAAGGGGCTCAGGGGGAGGAGATATGTAGCTTACAGAGCTGCCTTCTATGCTGAGTTCACACCTGAGCCTTCCACTGTGAAGGGTAGCTGAAACCCCAGAAGTCATGCCATTGCACTCATGGGTTCTGGGTCCAGCTCGCCAGCTCCCAGCTAGGCCTGACTATTTGGATTGTTGGTTGCAGGCCCAGGTAGGTCCTGTTTATCTGGCTAACACCAGGACAAGTCACTTTTCTGTGACTTCAGCTCTTACCTCCTAGCACCTAACTTCTAGCTCAGGTAGGCCTACAATGCCTCCCCGCCATGATCTCTGCTTATTCCAATGTTCTTGACACTTCCTCCTGGGCTCTGCCAAGACACTGGCCTTACCTCTCAGTCTGGGCTGTAAGGTATATGAAAAGATGAATTTGGGTTCGCTGTAAACCTGTGAATGCCATGTGCACCAGCAGCCTGCTCTTTGCCTGTGAACTAAGGGTAGCTAGCCCTCAGGTGACTAGTGGCCTACTGGGCCCATGAGCCTATGCCTTATCGAGGTGAAGAGTCCCTACTGTCTGGGCCTAACAGAGTCTAAAACTATGATCTAATTGCCCAGCCAATGGTCTTGAAGCTGCTGGTAGTGTCACAGGGCTTGCCCTCTGAGAAGCCCAGGGCTTGAGCTATTTAGGTGGCCTAAAGCACACCTGACTCTTCTCAGCCCCTGCTTTGATTCCATGAGAGCCACCTTTCGAGTCTGTTGGCATTGGTCCACTCAGGCCTCTGCACTGGTTTTCTCTGGAAACCACCTGGGTTGGGTACTCCCTCTTTGGCTCTTGTACTGCCTAGTGTTTGTCTCTTTGACACAGCTGGAGTTACCCTAAGAAGAAGGAACCTCAATTGAAGAATTACCTCTCATCAGACTGACCTGAGGGCATGTCTGTGGGGGCATTTTCTTGATTGCTAATTGATGTAGGAGGGCAGGGCCCTGCAGCAGCCTACCTGGGTGGTGGCCCTGGGTTGTGTAAGAGCCTGGGAGTAGGCTAGAGAGAAGCCAAGAAGCAGCGTTCCTCCATGGTCTCTGCTTTGGGTCCTACTGGGGCTCCTGCTCTGGCTTCCCTCGGTGATGGACTGTGACTTGAAAGTGTGCACTGAAATAAACCATTTCCTCCCCTAAGTTATTTTTGGTTAAAGTTTTTATAGTGGCCACAAACAAACTAGGTCAGGCCTCTGCTAACCAGATGTTCCCCATGAGTTCCTGTGCCAGAACTGGGATCCCAGGCTAGGGATTTTGTACTTTTGTCTTTCAGGGAAGTTGAGCTTTAATCCAAGGGGTTCCCCGAGTGAGTGGGAAGCAGAGACGGGAGATGGGGGCATGGGTGCTGCCTAGGTGCTGACTCCAAGCATTTGACCAGTGTGAGGGGCTCTTCAGGGAGGGATGTAACCAGGAATGGCATCTAGACGCTTTGATTGAGGAATACTGGGGGTTGGGCCATTGCAGCTCTGCAGGATGGGAAAGATAGCAACAAGCTGTCAGCTGGGCCACCCCATTCTTGGGGATGGAAGGGTGAGGCTTGAGCAGCAAAGCTCTCTAGTTTTGATTGCCTCTTTGAGGTTGATGGATACTGACCACTGGATAGGAATAAGACAGGGTCAGGGTAGCTTATATTGCATTAGATAAGGAAGAAGCATGGAGCTGTCCAGGCCTGGAAGCCTTGGGGTTGGGAGAAGGCCAGAGGCTGACAAGTGTGAGCCTTGCAAAGGACTATGGCAGAGGTCCCCTCTGCCACAGGCTTCACTGAGTCTGCCTGGGCCTGAGTATGCTGGACATCCCCGCGCTAGATGAGTCCTAGAGAAAAAGACTCCCCACTGGGCACTCTGAATGCTTGTATACACTTTGTGATTTATTTGGTGGTCAGTAATTAATGTCTTTGCTACTAAGTGGAAAAAAGCTAATAGAACGTAATCAAAATAGTGGTTTAATTGACGGATTTTACTTGTTCCTTGCGCTTGTGCCTTCTTCAGCTCCTACCTGCCTATTTAGCTTATGTGAGTGCAAACTGCACACCATGATCCCCCAGGGCCCTCTCCACCACTAGGTACTTGCTTTCCCCACCTCAGCTCCAGAGATGTGATGGTCTTTAGCTCTGGAAGTCTCAGCCAGCCTCTCCTCCATCCTGTCTTCATTCTCGGATGCCACCAGCATCCGGTGCTGGGGTTTGGTTGCCAGTTTGTGGTCAGGCCGGTGTTCAGGTCTTGAGCCCGGTCGAGTATCCAACTTGCAATCAGCTCGATACTTGCCCTCCCCCTCCCTCTTGAGGGAAGCAGAAGACATGGCTTTGGGCTTGGGAGGCTGTAGCCATGAGTGGCTGAGGATCTCATCAATGTGTAGCCGCCGGTTGACATCTGGCTGCAGGATGCGGTAGATGAGGTCCTTGCACTCACCAGTCAGGTTCTTGGAGCGTGGGAAGTCCACTCGGTGCTCCTTCTGGATGCGCAGCATCTTTTTGATGTCGGAGTCATCGTAGGGCATGGAGCCACAGACCATGATGTAGAGGATCACACCTAGGCTCCAGATGTCATATACCTTGGGCTGGTAGGGGATGCCCTGCAACACCTCGGGGGCCGCATAAGCCGCTGACCCACAGAAGGT